GAACACTTACAGGGATGGGGGCATCCACAGCTTCTCTGGGCTACCTGTTCCAGTGCCTCACCACCCTCACAGTGAAGAATTTCTTACTAATATCTAATCTAAATCTGCCCTCCTTCAGCTTAAGGCCATTACCCCCTGTCCTGTCACTCCATGTCCCTCCCCAGCTTTCCTGTAGGCCCCCTTCAGGTACTGGAAGGCTGCTATAAGGTCTCCCCAGAGCCTTCTCTCCTCCAGGCTGAGCAATGCCAACTCTCTCAGCCTGTCTTGATCAGAGAGCTGGAGCACCTCTCCTATGATCTTTGTGACCCCCTCTGGAATCACTTTGACAGATCTATGCCCTTCTGTTGAGGGTCCCAGAGCTAGACACAGTGCTCCAGGTGGGATCTCAGGAATGCTGAGTAGAGGGGGAGAATCACCTCCCTCAACCTGCTGGTCACGCTTCTTTTGATGCAGCCCAGGATACGTTGGCTTTCTGGGCTGCAGGCGCACATTGCCGGCTTGTGTTGAGCTTCTCATCCACCCACACCCCCAAGTCCTTCTCCTCAGGGCTGCTCTCAATCCGTTCTCCTCCCAGCCTGCAGTTTGCTTGGGATTTTCCTGACCCATGTGCAGGACCTTGCACTTGGCCTTGTTGAATTTCCATGTTTGCACGGGCCCACTTCTCAAGCCTGTCAAGGTCCCTCTGGACGGCATCCCTTCCCTCCAGTGTGTTGACTGCAACCACTCAGCTTGGTGTCATTAGCAAACTTGCTGAGGGAACTTTTGGGGAACAAGTAGCAAACCGTACCAATTTCATTTGTTTTGCTAAAATAACCTTATTTGATTATTATTTTGAAACTAGAGAAGAGAGATCAGAAATTAACACCTAAAGTTTCTCTGATTTCTGTACAGAAAGAACCTACCTGCTAGCAAGTCTATGGACTCTGGAATTCTGCCAGATTACAGTTACAGAATGGATTATCCAGAGATGGGGGAATGTGTAATAATAAACAATAAGAATTTCCACAGAAAGACCGGTACCACTTTCACATTTTTAAGTTTTTTCCTTAATTTAGATAAATTAGTGTCATGTATTCTGCATATTTAGTTTTGAAGAATAATTTTGATCGCAGTCTAAAATTTAGTGTTTTGAATGGCTGTGATTAATTTCAGTGCGCTCTTCCAAATATGCATAGAGGGAACACATTAGGGTATGGCAGTAATGGGGAGAAAAATTGGTAAGCAGTACAAGTCCAACTTACCTTTTAATCATGATTTCTGTTTTGTAAATGAAATCCTTTTTTTAATGTCTTTATATAGATAAGTAGTTTTAAAAATGAGTAGATAATTCTAAAATATAGGTACAGAGAGAGGGAGATGGTGTGCATGTATAAAGTGTAATGTTTTTTCTGTTAGAGTGGATCTGGAATAATGGAATGATATTCCAGACTGATACCGGTTTAAGTGGGAAAACAATTTGACTCAATCAGACCATGTCATCTATATCATATAAAAAATAATAAATTTCTTTTATGTATAGGGATGTTACCCCGTTCGGGTACGGATGCGGATGCTGCAAGTGTCAGAGAAGTTTTTATGATGTTGGGATATAAAATAAAGATCAACAATGATCTTTCATGTGGGGACATTTTTAAACTATTGAAAAATGGTAAGTAATACCATTCAATGCGTGATTAAATCAACTGCTGTTCCCAAATACAGCTCTAGCCCTCATACCTCTTCTTCCATGGTTCTTTTAGATGATATTTACTACCTACTGGTGGTTTATTGCTAAGAATAACATGTACATCATAGTTTCTATGTTTATTCATCTTTGCTGTCTCTCCATCTTTTGTGCCATGACTGTTGTCTCCATATTCTTTCTCATCTTCTAAAGAAGGCTGGAAAAAAGGCTGAAACTTAAATGCAGACTGATTTATATTCTGAGCCTGGGATCACTGAAGCTCTCTCTGTGAGTTGGAAAGAAACCTGCTTAATTGGGTAGAGGGGTTCTGTGCTATACATTTAGTGGTGTGGCCCCAGAGGTGTTCTGATCAGGGGCAGGGGGGTCTGAGGGACCTGAACTGCAAGTGTGTGGACTGAATTTCTCTTTTAGAGAACTTACGTTTTGTTTGATTTGTGAAACAAAACACCCTTCTATCAAATGAGAGCTTTATACTACTGTTTGTGTTAGCCTTGCTTTGTTTGGAGTTGGCTAGATCTAGACCAGTGAACTAAATGGTGCCTGGAGGTATGTGTAGCCCTGGAACACAGTCTATTCTACTTAACTGTTGGAAGGTTCTGTGCCATGACTGTGCCTCATGCCTACACAGACTGTTCCAGGTCAGAATTCAACAGTAAAAGTGTTCCAGGGATTATTCCCAACAGCCAGTTAGCCTGCAGCAATCCTGGTTTTTTTGGTTTGTTGGGGTTTTTTTGGTTTTTTTATTAATGTAAATGTTTGTTAACATAGATATGGGTTCTTTAGTGCAGTTAAAGTTTATGCCAGAGAATGCTCCCAGGCACGGTTAATTTATTAGTGTAGTTGTAGCCTGTTGATGGTAGCTGAAAGTGGAAAGCCTCTGTCTTACCTGTGGTATAAGGCCTTCAAATAGACAGTGTAAACTTCAGACTGCAGCCTAACTAGAGATTCCCAAAAACCTGCCTCTCTTGACTCTTCTAGGTGAAGTGCTTGTCCATAGATTGTAGAAATGCCTGAATGTGCGTCACTTGAGAAAAATCTAAATAGGTCAGTTTTTCCAGAATAGAAATTCAGTGGTTTTGCAAGCTTTAAACAGAAGACTTCAGCTTTTGGGGCTGTTACACTTTTCATCCACAAACTCTTGCATCTTCTTGAGTTTCCCACTCAGAATTCCTTTTGGATCCTTTCTTTTAAACCGTGTTTGTAATCTTTTCATACATTTAAAAGAATCATCTTGGTCCTCAAGTACAATCACCACAATGTCAGGCAACAAAAGACATCAGAGAATATCTGTTCTATGCTCTTTGCATACTACAAGATGGAAAAAAAAAATAGATGTACAAACACTTTATATCAAGATTAAATGTCTTTAAGTACAAAATTAAGAGGCTTGAAAAATGTTTCCAGACCTTGCTAACAAGACAAGAGTGAGAGGGGCAATGCTAGTACCAAGGTCCCTGCAGCAGCAACAGCTTTCATGCTACATTTAGTTCCCATGTAATCCAAGTAGTTGAAGCATTTCTGGTTGGAAAGAGAGGCAAGACTTACCATCCTTTCCCAAAACTCCGAATTTCCCATCAGTCCGATCCCAGATCACGCGACTGTTGACCATTAGTGCATGAGCGAGGTGTTCCATTCAGACTTTGAGGTGCTGTGGGAACACCCTCATTGTCTCCTCACGGTGTTCCTGGCCTAGTTCTGTGGCCTTCTCTTAGAATGAGTAGGCTTGGCCTTTAATTTGGGGTTTTCTGTGTCCAACTTCCTGAAATAAAGTAGGCTGGCTCCTTTTGTTCAGAAGTGAAAACTGGTTGGAGGTTTCTAAACATGGGAATTAGTTCTTAAAGACTTCTGTCACTTAGGAAGCATCAATTGTTCAAAGCTTTTAGGGAATGCAAGAAGTTAAGATCATTCTCTTTTTTCTTTCAAGTTTCTGAAGAAGATCACAGCAAGCGAAGCAGTTTTGTTTGCGTGTTGCTAAGCCATGGTGACGAAGGATTCATCTATGGTACAGATGGCCCTCTTGAACTGAAAGTGCTAACAAGTCTCTTCAGAGGTGACAGGTGCAGAAGTTTAGCAGGAAAACCCAAGCTCTTTTTCATTCAGGTGATGTACAGCTGAACAATGATCATCAAATCAGCTGGGTACTTTAAAAAACTGAATGTTTCTGGTTAATTATTAGTGCAAAAAAGTTAATTATTTCTAAAATTGATTTAAATGGAATTACTTCCAGGATAAGATTCTCTTCAGGCCAGAAGTTGCACATTCTGCCCTATTAGATAGGTAGTACTTGTAATAGCTGAGATTGCATTACCTTTATTCTGTGGATTAAGTAAAATCTTTCTGAACACTAGCCAATATTATAGTGAGTTTCTGAATGCACTTTTGAATTAATATCTATCTTAACCAAACTGTATAGTTGATTTAAATAAATGCTATTTTAATTTTCTTCTGAACCTAATGGAAATGTGACATAGAAATTCTTGTTATTTTTGCAGGTTTTTTAATTAGGATATTATCATCTTTAAAATAGAAAAAAAAAATCCATATTCTGATCATGATCACTGCCTTTATTTCTTTATTTTTTATTTTATTTTCCATTCTTCTTTCCACCAAATAGGCTTGTAGAGGGACAGAATTAGATTCTGGTATTGAGGCAGACAGTGGATCAGAAGAAACAGTTTGTCAAAAAATACCTGTAGAAGCAGACTTCCTGTATGCATATTCTACAGCTCCAGGTGAGAGACTTGAAAAGAAATTTTTGTTCCTGAAATTGTATCTATATATCAGCTTGCATTGGTATTGTAAATGACAATTAGCACTTGTATCCAGTCACTGGGTGACTACTTGATTTGTTCTTTCATGGAAATACAAATTTTTTCCAACACTTTTTTTTTTCTCCCCTGATTTGATTTCTTTTTGAGGTAGTTGCTGTTCTCAATTCCTAGGAAAAAAACCAACAAAAAACCCCAATCCCTGAATATACATATTTCTCACTAGCAAAGCCTCAAATGTTACCTGCTATAAATTCAGTTAATCTGAGTTGTGCAAGTAATTTACTGCAGGAAGTAGAAGGTATTAATAGTTCTGAGAGAACAGAACAATTGGGCACCCATAGATATGTATACAGAAGTGGGTGATACCATCTGTATTGTCACCTCTCCTTTGTATATGCGTACTCTATAGAGAAGTAGTAAGTGATAAATGGCTAAGACTGTTGCAGCAGAAGATAGTTTTCCTGCCTTTTTATTTTCTACGTACTTAAAAGTTTTCTTAGATTAGAAAAGACGAGAGGATTAGAAAAATCTTTTCAGTTGGAATTTGGGGAGATTATTTTGTTGGTTAGTGGGTTTGAGGTTTTATTTTAAAACATGTGTTGTTATTGGAAACAATGCATTGTTCCTCTAAGTGCTACCCTGTCCTGTATCATAGGCTGCTACATCTGATTAATTTGACATCTCTCTCTTCCACAAGGCTATTACTCCTGGAGGAATTCAGCTGAAGGCTCCTGGTTTATTCAGTCACTGTGTAAAATGCTAAAGGAACATGGAAGGAAACTTGAACTCATGCAGATTTTAACTCGTGTAAATCGCAGAGTGGCAGAGTATGAGTCCTGCTCGACTCGGCAGGATTTCAATGCAAAGAAACAGATTCCATGCATTGTCTCTATGCTCACCAAAGAATTTTACTTCCCTTGCTAAAAGAATTTCACCTTGTAATTTTTCAGTTCATGTTTTTATCTGTAATTTATATGCAATGTTAGTATGGAATACCACTTTTAAATCTGAATTGCTGTTCACTACATTCTGTGGCATCATTAGAAGTGAAATACAGTATGGCTATGTTAGAAATGCAAACTTGAGTCGCTGAAGCACAGGCAAATTTGAACGTAGTGCTCTGAGTATCTTGGAAAATTAGGAAGAGGAGACTAAAGAAAGATCAGGTCACTTATCAGGTCTATTTGGTGCTACATTTCCCTTTGAAGGGACAGAGAAAAACAATTCTTGTAAATAGTTCCATTTCATATCTTAAGAAGAAGATTGAGAATGTGATGTCATATTACCATCTTTAGTAAACATATTAGTGTTGTCATACATTTCTTCTTAACTCAAGTTCTTAAACTTTAGGTTGTAAACTAACCTAAACTGGTTTTATAACTTAGGGCATAAACTGTGGAAAACAGCTATTTCATTTTTTACTTACAATTAGGAAGCAGATTTAGAATACAGTAATTTTTTTTTCCTAATCATTTTATACCTTTTTGTATGGAGTATTAGGTAGAGTGATTATATCAACACAGTAGCTGTTTCAGAATAAATTTTGTATTCTGACCTTGAAGCTGAGTGACTAAGGGACCAGTCTTCCAAATTTTCTTTTTCTGCAGCTTCCTAAGGGGGGAGCTGTTGTGGCATATTTTGGGCTATAAGAGTGGGTGCAAAAGGAAGTCCACCTTCTAAATAGTCAGCTTCCTCTTTCTGGTCATAAATAAGAGTGGGTTAGCTTTGTGCTATGTGCGTACCACATTTAATCCATGTGGAAACCTAGATTTGTGGTACTGGAGAAATTTCACTTCTTAGATCTAATACCAATTTGAGTTAATTACAAGACTTTATCTAAAATATGTTAACAAAGAGTAAATTGATAGTGCTTGGCTGAATTTTGTAGAACAGGCTTTTACAAAATTGTAAAACATTTTTGTTGATGTTTCAGCTTGTGGCAGTCTCTTTTAAGATCAGAGGAAGACAGAATGGTAAATGACTATAGGGTGCTGGCAAAACAAGACTTAAAACTCTTCAAATTGTGTAGCATGAACAGTGTTAGCAAATTGATGTTCACTTTCAGAGGCATGAATTTGGGGTTGTGTGGTTTTTTTTAAATTAAATACTGTTTCCTACATTGTATCATGCTTATCTGTGTGTATTATTTGTTTAGGATCTGATAGCTTTTGCAAAATAATTTTAACTTTAATTTGTCTCTCTTTCTCAAAATACTGTTTTCCCTCTTCTTCCCCATCTGCCTTACTGCCTGAAGTTGACAAGCGGCTGCTTTAAAGCATTGTATACCATATAGCCAGGTAATAAGAGTAGTGGTTGAGACATGGGAAATGCAAAAGTTATGCAGAGGAGACGATTTTAAACATTGTAGATGAGTTCTCTGATGAGTGCCTGCTGAATAGGAGGAATCTTGTCTCTCTCTTGTAGAAATGTTTCGTGACAGAGGGTTAGTCTATTTTCACTGATGGAAACTTCAGTTCCAGGCAGATTTATTACCCACACTTCTGTTGAAAAGCTAAATAGGCCACTGTTAAACATACCTAAAAATAACATTTATAAAAACCTATATGTAGGTTTCTTCATGTAGGTTGTGAATTACAACAAGCAGCTGCACAGTTATATTTTATAAATGACTGACAGGACTAAAGTTAATGTACTTCAAAGTAATTGGGAATAGGAATGTTCCTTGAATTCTTAGTTATTTTGCTGTGAAAAAGTCCTGTCACAGACTTAGATTTAATAGGTTCTGCTCTTGGTCCTTTAAAGGAAAAATGATTCTACAACTTTTCCAATAGTCTTTAAAATAGAGCAAAACAAAAATCAAAGCTAAGCTACAACCAGTCATTTAGGAAGATGTAGAGCTCGGAGAAAGAGGTAGTATCCCTGCCAGTCCTTTCCTCTCAGGACACAAGCTGTGTTTTATTCCACATCACTAAACTTCACAGTGCCAGGAAGGCTTCTGGGTATTTCTAGCTGAGGGCTGCTGGTCTGGTGGGACTTGTGGGTAGAGACAGAACCTGTTGGGAGAGGGGGGAGGCAAGAATGTCCTTGAATGCTCACTGGCTTTGGCAAGGAACGCTGACCAGAGCTGGTTGAGCTAAGCTGATGTTAATTGGGAAAAGGTGATTGAGTCAAAAGGTTGAATTCAGAGAAGAGGCAGTGGGATGGAAGATGGTAATAGAGTAAATCTTTAGGAAAGACATGAGGAAAATAGGACAACTTAACTGGTTGTCTGTAAGGTGGTGCTCTACACAGAAACAGGACCACACAGAAATACATGAAGGCCACAGTAGAGGCACAATTGCCAGTTCATCACTGCTGTAGGCTTTCGCTGGATAAATCATACAAAATTAGAAGATTGAGGTAGAGGAGTGGAAGCTAAGTGAAAGGAGGGATTGCACAATGTAATGACAAATAGGAAACTGCCTTAGTTTGAGTGCAGCTAAAGGAGAAAGGAACAGGTGATTTACGCTAAAAACCTGGCAGAAAGCACATGCCAGTTCTACAGCAGGCTCCACTGGTAAAGGGGCAGTCGAACTATCATTTTATTGTTGGGTTATGTGGTAAAAGCTCATCTGTACATCCACGAAGGAGCACAGCAAGACAAGGACAGGAGGGGAAGCCTAAATAATACCCTGCCCTGCAGAGCTGCTCCCAGGTGCATCACAGGAGCCATCAACCCATCAGTGGCTCATGTCTATGAAGCCAAGAGGTGCACAGGAGCATAAGTGCAGGCAGAACCACAAATTAAGGACTTGGAGGCAGGGGCATGCTGTGTGGGGTCCTCCCAGGCTGTCCCGGGAGAGGGTCAGCCCCAGGATCCAGGTGTGAAACCCATCAAGGTGAGTCAATGCAGAAGCACCTTTCATGTAATGGTGGGACACATCGTGGGATGCAGGGGAAGAGCATTTGGGTGTTGCACAGGATTTATTACAGGTTGTTTAGGGAAGGACCCAAAGGCAGGGAAAGGGATGGATTTAGGTGATTAGGGGAGAAACAACTGTGGGGAAAATAGAGGTGTAAGGAGATAAAAAGCACTGGTCACATGTAATTTGCTGGTCAGTGTGCTCCTCTGGCCATGCCCTGAGCCTGAGCAGCACAGTCTGTCCTGACTTCTCAGTAAATTCTGGTTTAACTGCTCTTGAGTGGGGGGGCTGAGTGCCACCAACTGGAGTCAGACCACAGGTCAGAGCCCTTGTGTCTCTGTGGCGCAGTGACTGGAGTGACCTGATTTACGGGCCAGCAACGGGAGTAGCACCTTAGGTCACAGTAGCCCATGTGCCCATGGTGCCAGTACCCGGAGCAAGCACAGATTTGGGTGCCAGCAACTGGGCTGGGACCATGGGCTGAAAGACCTCTGTGCCAGTGACCAGCGAGACCCAAGTGGGTGACACCAAGTGCCAGCCCCAGCTGGTAGCTCCCTTGGTAGGACCAAGGGTCAGAGCTTTGTGGCCATGGTGAAGCACCTGGAGCAGGTGTGAGTGTATAAGTAAGTGTGTGAGCACCAGCAAGGATGGAGCAAGGCAGGAGGTGAAGTGGCCTCAGAGCCAGCAGTGGTGGGATGTCTAGATGCAAGGCCACAAGAGGAGCTGGCTATTGGGGGGAAGGAACCAGGAGAGTCCTGGTCAGCACCCTGCATGTGCGTGTCTACATGAGTGAGAAAGTGTACCAGCAACTGGAGTGGGGCTGTGGCCTCGACGGTTTGTATGTCCAGGCACCAGCAATGGGGTAGGCTGAGTGTCTATATACATGTATGTTCCCACTTGTGGACCTCCATCCTGCTCAGAGAGGGGAGCAGGATGACGCCATTGATGCTGTCTGTGCTCATGTGAGCACTCTGAATATCTGTGTTATCAGTGTGTGTGATTACACACATAGATACATTTATGTGTATATATGTGGTACATATGTGTGCTCTGTGTATGTGTGCCTACTGGGAACACATCAGCTTTGCTACTGGTTGGACCTGGGGACATGGAGCTGCAGCAACCTTACCTCTCTTGGGCTGTTGGATACAGCCTGATAGGTTTTTCTCCTAACACATATCTTTTGAAAAAACAATTGGGCAAGACATACTGTCCAACAAACTTATGAAACTGAGGGAGACTGTTTTTTTGTTTTGTTTTGTTTTTTCCAGAAAGGGAAGGAAATAAGTGTGTTAAATACGGAGACCTTCACAGAGACCAGTGGTGAAAGGCTGGGGGAAAACACTTGCATGAAAGTGCTTCGACTATACTAAGTGATGCAAACAGTTCTTCACTTTCCTGGGGAAGGCCTTCATGGCAAGTGTGGCTGCAGTTTCCAAGCTGAGCTGGAAAACACATGGCTGTGTTTTCACCTAAAGGTACACGTGTTCGCATGGCTAACTGGATCATCAGTTAAATCATGTCCAAAAGGCTTTTTAAAAGCCTGATCTTAGTTGTTTTGCTGATTTGAAAAGCCACCAGAACCACAAATCTTTCATAAATCAATGACGAAATTAACAAAGGTGGCATATGAGACACCTACTGATTTTTGCTAATATTCGCTTTTCTAGTAAAGCTAATTTTTTTCTATTTATTTTTTTTAAAAAATGCATTTGGTGCTAAGCAATGGAAGGATTAAGAAAATAAAGAGCCAGGCTGAAACTGGGGAGGCAACTCATGCTGCCCAGTTCATACGAGGTCAAGTACTCTCTTCTGGCTAAGCAAATTCTTATGTTGAACGCAGTCAGTCTGCCCTCTCCCCACAATAACCTCTGAGAGTGCATATTTCAAAACTGCTTTTGTTAAAAGAAAAAAAGGCACGTCAAACACTGATGCTAGTGAGTCCCATGGAAACAGTCTGTCTTTCAGAGCAGCATCCACGCTTTTGGTACTCTGCTCCATAACAGAAGAAAAGCCGTGCAACTTAAGTCAAAATTTACAGTGGTTAACAAATTACTAGGTCCTTTTATATACATAATGCATTCTTCTTGGAAGTATATGTGGTTTCTCCTGAATTTTTAAACTAAATTACTATACATTCGTATGTAATTTATATTTTTAACT